TCATATAAATGATCACTCATGGAATGGCTGTGCCCAAAACACGAATGTTCTTCAATGAAGATAACAATTAGGAAATTGCAATTCTGCAATTTGAGGAAGGGGAAGGGAAAGAGTTTAGCATAATATATTAAAGGAATGACCAACAAATTAGTCTTTAATTAGAGGAAGAGTTACCTTTTTAAAGATGATGTAGGCCACGTTTCTGTCTATCCTACGGGAAAGTACATTTTAAAATTCCTTAAGATAAATTGTCAAGGATTGGAATACACTGCGTAAGACAGATTCTGTATTGTTCTATAAATCTTCTGGCAAGATATCTCTAAGGGTATTTAAAAAAAAGAATTATCAGTTATCGGTCAGGTGTCTTGGGTTGCTTAGAGTTACTGGCTTCCATTTGGAAGGGTTCTGGGATCTACAGAACATGGAGGAACCATCTCAGGACTGTAGAATTGAGATAAAACTTTTCAGTAAAGGCAGTTGCTGTAGTGGTTCTTGCAAAAGTGCTATCTTTGGCAACAGCTGGACACTAAGACTTATGCCTGCCACCTTACAGGGTTGTTGTGAGGAAAGTGTTATTATTAACAACATATCAAGATCTGTATTCATTATTGTCTATCATAGTTGATCCCAAATTGCCCAGTAGGATTTATTTCCATCTCATTTTCTTAAGAAATGAATTAGTAAGTGCAGACCTTTTAATAAATAAGTCTTTGGACAATGTCAGGTAAATTTCACTTTGGGTGTCGTCTTGATAACTTTTCTAGGTATTTTGTTTCTTGGCAGACTTTATTAATGCTGAATTCTTAGGGTTCCCCTCACCGCAGTAAAGGGCTAGTCAAACCTACTTATTTTTATGCTGTTATATAGTTTTAAGGAAAACTCTCAAAAAGTGATTTGAACAGAGCAGTGTCAGTTACTTAGATCTGACAAGATTACTGAAATTAGAAAGACTGCCATAATCCTCTTTCCACAATCTTTCCAATTATGGATGTGATTGAATTCATAATAATTAATAAATTAAGGGGAAATGATCAGTTCATTATGGGTATTTCAGTTGGATATTTCAGAGGAGGTAAGCCGCAAGGGGTAATTAAATAGTTTACAATGCTGGTGTCGTGGACTTGTGAGAATAAACAGATTTTACCAGATAGCTTCTTTTTTTTTTAAAGCAGTTTTTTCATGGAGAGATTGTATGTGAGAAAATAGTCTTTCTGATCCAAATATTCTATGAATTAAAGCTTAGTGGAAACATAGTAACCCAGTGTTCAAGTTTCTCCTTGCATTTGACTTGAATATTTAGATATGTTATATATGTATTACATACTACTTATTGACTTAGAAAACCACATATTAACATTATCTATGCTTTATTATATTTTGATTTATTTTGTTAAATTCCAATTACATTTTAATATGATTCCCCTGTATTTAGCAATGTTGTGGGTTTCCTATTTTTTGACACCTCTGATCAAGACCATCCTCTGGCTGGAAGTCATATTAGTGCTCTTTCTACTGCACCAATCTCGTCATGCATTCCTTTTATAGCTCTAGTAGTAGAAAGACAGTATTGTATAATAAAATGATTACCTAACTGGAAATCCAGGCTCTTAAGTTCTAGTCTTGACTTTGCCATTAGCCAACAGAATAACTGTGATTGCTTCACATCTGTGGGCCTCAATTTCCTTACATTGAAGCAAGAGATTTGTGCTAGATGATTATTACTTCCACCTCTAAAATCCTAGATTGCTATGGTGTCAAAGTAGATGCATCCATTTGCTTTTGGCACCAGGGGATTATGTGTTTCTCTGATTACTGTATGACTAATGCTGCTAGGATCAGTCCAGCCCAGCTCATCTGGACTAGGACGCAACATATCGGTCCAGCACCTTATAGTGGGGAAATTTATGAGCTTCTTTGTCTGTTCCATTTTAGGAAGAAGAGGGCTTGAAAAAGTGTTAGCAAGGGAGCCAGATTGATTATGATCTACACTAGTTAGAGCAAGGTGAGATGTTAGACAGCCTGGAAGGCAGGGCCATTAACTGGGAAGAAAATCAGCCACTGAGATAGGGTAATTGGCATTATTGGATTACAGGAATGTCACTGGATCAGATTCCAGAGATATGGGGCAAGATTACCAATTGACTGTGTCCTCAGGGGAGAACTATACAGAAGGAGAGATTTTAGAATTTGGGCAGTAAGATCATAAGTTTGGGTTCTTTATGGACAACATGAATATAAAACATTGGCCCTGGACCTTTGTTGGGTTGTCTTGAAGTATTTGAAATTTTGTGTTTTTTTGTCAGCATTCATATCTTGTGAGGATTTGGTGAGTAAGGGAAAAACAATTTATGAAGTTGAGTCACTTGTATTGGTATTGTCTCCACAATGACCTGTCTGATAGCTTCTTAATCATCACCCTTAGTTTCTGGTAAGGAAGTTGCTATATTCTGGATGAGGTGATGCTTCTAGTTAATCTTTAGTGTTAGTCATAGAGAAATCACAATCCTAATGGCCAAGGGTACAAAATAGAGAAAAAATTTCAAGCTCTGCACGAGTTATAGTATTCTTCTCACATTTACTTACCTCTGAACTATCTCATGCTTGCACCTGCCAAAAAAAAAAAAAGACACTCTGAATATTCTGTTTGTGGTCTGGATGTCTGTCTACCTACCCAGGCAGGAGTTCAGGGTAATGGTTGCATTTGACTAGGAACATCGTACCTATATGCAAATATGCAGTCATTTATTCATTCAACATACTTTTATTCAACACAGTGAGCAAAATATGGTGCTAGATGCCATTGAGAATTTGAAGATGACTAAGATGTCAGTGCTTTCAAGCTGCCTGTAATCTAGTAGGGAATCTGAGTAATTTTCTGGTTATGTGTAATACATGTCAGAAATATAAAATTGCATTTACAAACATTCATTAAACACTTACTGTAAACAAAGTCTTATTCAAGTTCAGAGGAAGGAAGGATCAATTCTGGATCAAGGACTAAGGGATGTTTCTGTGGAAGAGGTGGCATTTGAGCTCTGTCCTGAAGGATGAGTAGGTAAAGATGAGTGGAAACTAAATTCCAAGTAAAAGGCGCAACACGCAAATACTTGGAGACAGAAAGTAGTGTGTGTTCGAGGAATGGCAGGTAGGCTACTTTGGCTATATCTTAGGATATATAATGGTAAAGTAGCAGGTAATGAGGTTGGAAAGATGAACGGAAGCCTGCTTGTAGAAAGCCCTGAATGCTTGCCTGAGCAGTTCAGACCTTATTCTATAGACAGTAAGAATTATTGAAGGCTTCTGATCAGAGAAGAAGATTATCATGAGGGACTCTGCAGTAGGAAGATTAAAGTGATAATGATTGAGAGGGGAGATGGAGATTAAGGAATGTGAAAGCCCAGAGAAGGAAAAATGGGGAGGGGGTGTGTGTGTAGTTAAGAGTTAAATGGTCCCAAAAAGAGGAGTACAACCCAGACATCCAATTGATGGTCACTTGGCTCAGTTGGTCAGAGTATAGAATCTTGTAAAGTTTGACCGTTTATTATGTTCATAGTGTCTAGAGCAGGAGTTTTTAACGCTTTTTGTGTGTGTCATGGACCCTTTTGGCAGTTTGGAATAATGTTTTAATTTATTTATTTGTTTGCTTTTGTTTTCTGTTTCTGTCTCTCCTTACTTTTTTGGGGGAGGGTGAGGCAATCGAGGTTAAGTGACTTGCTCAGGGTGACACAGCTAGTAAGTGTCGAATGTCTGAAGCCAGATTTGAACTCAGGTCCTCCTGATTCCAAGGCCAGACCTCTATCCCCTGTGCCACGTAGCTGCCCCTGGAATAATGTTTTTAAATGTATAAATAAAATACATAAGATTACAGAGGAAAACAATTCTGTTGAAATATAGTTAGCATTTTTTAAAAAAATCAGTTCATGGACCCTAGGATAAGAACCCCTGATCTGGAGCTAGAAAGAGTCTTAGGGCCTATTGAGTTCATCCCCATTTTACAGATGAGAGAACTAAGGCCCAGAAAGACCAAGCAAAGGAACTTTTCTATATTTGGCCAGAGTCTGCAGTTCCAGTATGATCTGGCTATTTTGAAAATATGTGAGAGATTATGAAGGGATCTTTGGAAATCTGTCACTTCCATTAGACAAAAATCAATCTGGGGCAGGTAGGCAGGTAGGTGGCACAGTAGATAGAGCACCAGCCCAGGAGGCAAGAGCACCTAAGTTCAGATCTGGCCTCAGACCCTAGGCAAGTCACTCTAACCCAACTGCCTCACCAAAAAAAAAAAAAAGATCTGAATGTTGGGGGAAACTCTTATCTATGTCCTCCCACAGATCTATCACAGGGGTCCACCCAACATACTGAGGACTTTCCTTTCATTTTCTTGAAGTTGTGTGAATTTCAGTAGAGCCTATCCATCAATTGGGTGTTGCCCTTCAGTTATCTCTTGCTCTCTCTTTATGACCAGCCCATATATTTTATTTAATACCAAAGTTTCATTTATGTGGGAAACAATATATTTTAAATAATTTTCTTAGTATCATTTTTTTTCTTATGTTTCTTCTTACATGTTAGTTAATTTTTTATTGCTGTTGCTTACTGAAGGCTCTGTTTTGCTAATTACTTTCTGTGAGGCAATGTCATGTTCACAGAAGACCGGAATGGTACCATTAGCACAACAGGGGGTGACATTCTACTGCCCAGTGGCAAAGCTGACCCTTTAAAAGAAGGAGCTTTTCATTTCCATTGTATGAAACATCTGGCTCTTTCTTCAAGCCAATACTCCTCAAATGTTCTAATGAGGAATTTTGGGATTTGTCTCCATTTGAGGCCACTTGATGTTTAAATGGCTCCTCGTGGGGGAGAGTATGCTTTGGGCAAACTCAGTTGCCAGGAATTCAAAGGGAAAAAAATTAAACAACCGCAATCGTGTTATTTTGTTCTGCACTTCTGACCTTTTAGTCTGTTGTGGTATCTGAAGCATGTTTTCCCTTTCTTTACAGAATGCAATGAACCTACCTCCTGACAAAGCCAGACTGCTTCGCCAATATGACAACGAGAAGAAATGGGAACTGATTTGTGATCAGGTAAGGAACAGTTCACTGGTTTCTTGTCGGGATGAAAAGGGAAGAAAAAGGGAAAAGCCAGATATCTTCATTGTATACAAGTGTGAATTCTTGTGTGTTATGACTTTTTGTCCTTTCATTGGGCTTGACTTGTGAAAAGCTAAAAAAAATAACATTTCTTTCCTGCCTGACTTTGGTTCTTCCATTATCATGGAAACTTTTCTAGATGTTTTTACTTGTTGCTTACTTCCTGGGTAACCTGAGCTAGTGGTTATGTCAGCTTTTGAGTAACTGCTCGGTTATCCAGTTTCCTCATGTGTGAAATGAGAGCATTGGACAAGTTACTCTCTGAGGGCCCTTACGATTTTTAACAGTGAGTCCATGGTTCTATGTACCTAATGGGGTAGTTTATGCTGTGTGAATAGAGTGAGTCTTTACCAGTGTTATCCCTTCATTGAGGAGGGTTTTCTCATTGAAAAACACAAAGTCATTTTTTGGTACTTGTTTGTATGACTGGTCAGTTGTTAAAAGCTTTCAGAAGGACCTTGTCTTGTCCCATCAACCTACAGAGGAAAGACACACTCTATATCTGTTTAGTTCTGTTAGGTGAAGGATACACACAAGTCATGCATGCTGCCTGAAAAATTCTCTGGGGAACAAAATGATAGCCCCTAAAAGCTCCTTAGATCAATTTCCTGTGTGTGTGTTTTTTTTTGCTTGTGTGTGTGTGTGTGTGTGTCCCACATCCTGTGCCCCACCACGTATCCCCATATTTCAATCAGTTGACTAGTGCATTTTGAGGGCAGGGACTTCATTTTGTTTTGTTTGTTTCTATATCACCAATAGTTAGCACAATAAATGTTTGTTCAGTTGAATTTCCAGAGTATGATATCCTGCAGCAATAATGGCCTTGGAATCAGGAGGAATTAGGTTCAAGTACCATCTCTGACACATACAGGCTGTGTGACCCAGGGAATGGCATTTGACCTCATTGCCTGACAACTCTTTACACTGATGTAATCACAGATTCTGTCCAAAATAAAAAACATACTTCCTCAGTAAGAAACATATTTATTATATACTCACTTTGTTGGAAAGGATGAAGAAATAGAAAAAAATGAGTATGCATTCAGTTCTTGCCTTTGAGAGACTTTATAATTAATCATCCAATCAGCAAGCATTTATTAGGCACCTACTGTGTCCCAGGCACTGTGCTGAATTTTGAGGATGCAGACATAAAGATGACACACTCCCTGTCTTCAGGGATCTTGTATTCCATTGGGAGAGACAGCATTACACATATGTCATAGGCTGTATCAATGTTATTTGTGTTTTATGAATGAGCATCCTTTAAGCAGAAAAAAGCAGTCATAAAAATGGTAAGCAGAGTAAGGGAAAGATAACAGTGATTAAAAAAGGAAAGGTGAGGGCATTGAGGAGAAGGGTTCAGTGAAAATGATTAAATTTGGTTCATTATTTATATCACGGTACATCTAGCTCTTCATCTATTCTATTCCTTCTCTGAATTCATGTAGTACTTCATGGCATTTATCTCATACAACTTTTGGGTTATAGTTAGGTGATTATAGTGTTGAGTTAGATGACACAGTGGATAGAGTACCGGACTTAGTGTCAGGAAGGCCTGAGTTCAAATAATTCCTTAGACATTTACTAGCTATGTGACCTTGACCAAGTCACTTAGCCAGTGTTTGCTGTAAAGTAGGGAAATAATAGCATCTACCACTGAGGATTATTGTGAGGATAAAATGAGATAGTATTTTTAAAGCACTTTACAAACCTTAAGGTGCTAGCCATCATCATCATCATCATGCTCTGAATTATTTTTATTTCTCATCCAAAATTATAAGTCTTTTTTGGAGAAGAGACCATCTTTTTCACCTTTATTGCCACCAGGGCCTAGCATGCAATACACACTCAGTAATTGAATGAAAGGTGTTAGTAAATGATGGCCATCATACTAAGAGCTTGTACCATAATAGCTACATTGGAGAAGATGCTGAGCCAACAGTTTTGTCTTTTATTTCTATGTTGTCAGTTTGTCTCCCTCAAAGAGTCAGCAAAAGGAACTTTTAATATATAGCTGAATTCCTCAGATTGAGGCTGTGACATGGTCAGGTGTGGTGTTTACATGTGAGAATTATTGTACCTTTCATGAGTAGGTATTTAAATGGTTATTGTTGTTTATTTGTTTTCTTTTGTGTCTGACTCTTCATTATTGCTTTTGGGGTTTCTTGGCAAAGATGCTGGAGAGGTTTGCCATTTCCTTGTCCAGTTCATATTACAGATGAGAAACAGAGGCAGACAGGTTATGCTGTTTGTCCAAGTCACACAGCTAGTAAGTGTCTGAGGCTGGATTTGAACTCAGTCTTCCTGACTTCAGGTCCCTCTCTCTATCCACTGTGCCACCTAGCTGCCTATTTGAATGGTTACTGAATTGAATTAATGAGGGGCAAGCAAAGCTAGAAAGCATGAACATACATATTCAGACCTGTAAAACTTTATGGCAAATGACACATTTTCTTATCTGTTCTCTTGGGAGAAAAACTAGACCATGCTTTTTTGCCTTTAACATATGTCATTTTGATGAGGAAACCTGTGTTGATTCTTCTGTGTATTTGGTTTATTTATTTACTTGGCAGACGAAATTAAATTCAAATATAATTTGTAGAGTGCAAGGTACACATAAACAAAATATGACATTTTGTGAAAGGATATGTAATTTTCAAACAGCACTGTAATCTGAGAGCAGAAGTGAATCCATGGTATACCTACGTTATTTGAGTGCTTTAGAAAATGCATAAATGAGTTGCAGTGAACCTGGCATAGTTTTCTGTGAACAGATATTGAGAAAGAAAGAAAAAAGAAAGAAAGACAGACAGACAGACAGACAGAAAGAAAGAAGAAAGAAAGAAAGAAAGAAGAAAGAAAGAAAGACTCAATAGATATGGAATAGCAAAATCAAAAGTTTTAATGCATTAATGACACATTATAAAACTAATAGTCAGGTCCCTAATTTCAAATTAATATTTCTGATGATGAAGTTTCAGTAGAAATACTTTTCCCCCCTGTCCTTTTGATACATAAAATAACTCTGCCTTCCTGCTTGTTGATGGTCCTCTGAGCTCTCATAATAGCCTAGTCATTTAAGGATCATAGATTTAGAGTTGGAAAGGAACATAAAAAACATCAAGTCTGACCCCAGCCCCTTATTTTACAGATTATAAGAGGCTGAACCGAATTGTGAAACCAGGTCCTTTAATGCCAAATCCCAACTGTTCTCGTAGTACACCATGCTGCCTGCTCTCTGAGACCGTATGAGTTGGAGAAAGTAAGAGCTAAACATTAGAAAAGGATTTTTTCAAAGAGGGGTTGGAGAGGAGTGGACTTGAAATGTCATTAAGTTCTAATGAGGAAACTCTACTTGTGCAGATCAGTGAATGCTGTGCAAGTCATGGTATTTATAGTACAGTGGCCTTTGGGGGTACTGAGACATTGAGCGACTTGTCCAGGGTCCACATAGCCATTATATATTAGTTGTCAGAACTGAGCTTCCAGCCTCTATGATGTTTCTGACTTAGCACTACTATATTCCACACTGTGCTGCCTCTCTACTGTATAGGCAGTTTATTTAACAGTGAATGGTGTTAAATGTCGATATGAGTGGTACACGTAATATAGCCACCATAGAAGGCTTATTAGATGAGGTTGGGCTTGAACCGATAGATTTGGATAGGCAGGTCAAGTTTGTGTAGGGGAAAGGAAAAAAAAATACAGAAAATACAGCAATAGAACCCTATCTGGAAAGATTCATTAAATACGTGTTGTTCTGTAAGTGAAAAGGCACCCAGATTTCACTTCAAGAGAATGACATTTAATCTACCCTGTGTCATTTTTGGATTTCACTTTTTAAAAAATTACAGATACGTGAATTGTGTTGGCTGATGCCTACCACTGTCAGTTAATGCTTCTAGTAGATTCTGGATCAGTGTAAAAAGAGTAAACTAATATTTCAGTGGGCTTGCCTGCTCAGATTTCTTAACTCTTCAGTGAGTGGTTTGATCAGCATACAATCACTTGAGTTTTCATTCTTTTCCACACTGCTGTGTCATCCCCAGACTCAGGCAGAACACATTCAAAATAGAATGCCTTTTCTTTCACTCTCTCATCAGCAGCCTTGTTGACACGAAGCATCGCTTGAGCGATTTTCCTTGGTTTGGGGACTGATGTTCCAGTCTCCTATCATCGGACAGTGATTACTGGTGCTCAGTCACAATGAAAGCACATGCTGTGGGCTTCTGCTTTTGTGCTTTCATTCTCTGTAAGCTCTTTGTTGCAGTGGCCTGGGCAGGTACTTGATCTGTTGTTTTCTCCTCTCTGTACTTTAATCTCTATCTGTAATAATACCATCATATAACTAACATCAATTAGCTCATTCTGTTAATTCGGTCTAGTTCAGTTCAGTCCAACAATGTTTGTTAAGCACCTACTATGTATAAGGTACTCTGCTAGAAAGTGAAGACACAAAGATGAAAAATGACATGATCCCTGCTTACAGGGAGTCTCTTGTCTGACTGTCTTTTTAGGTGGAGAGGGGTACACATAATAAGTCTAATGCGAGGTAGAGTGTGGTAGGGAGTAAAGATCCAGCTGGGCACAGTGCTCTAAGAAATTTTGAGAGCAGGGGCAGCTATGTGGTGCAGTGGATAGAGCACTGACCTTGAAGTCAGGAGGATCTGAGTTCAAATGTGGTCTCACATACTTATTTTATTTTCATATAGGTATCGATATAGACATAGATATAACTGTTACATGTGTGTATGTATATACATACACACACATACTGTTATATAATCCTAGGCAAGTCACTTAACCCCGATTGCCTCAAAAAAAAATTAAGAAAGAAAAGAAAATTTGAGAGCAGAAAGATCACTTTTATATGAGAAGGGAAGGCTTCATCGAAGAGAAGGCAGGCACATCATTCAGACCTTGAAGGAAGAGAA